TGACTATGCGCGTATAGCATAGGAGGATTCTACGTGTAGTTCTAAGCAAATTTGCCGATGAAATCATGGGTCTAAAATCAGTTTGGAGTTTGCTAAATTGCGAAGTTTTTCGTGAAAATTTGTATAATTTTTCATTACATTCGGTTATCCTTTGAAAAATTTGGCGCTAAATATTTTAGTAGAAATTCAAACCATCTACATATAAGCTATTTTTTAAACAGTGGATCGAAAGGCTCAAAAATTATTTTTGAAGTTGACCACGCCGCGGCCGCAAAGCCTAATGTACATATATCTGGTCATATTTCATCAATATATTTTCCAAATCGATTTGCGCTCTTTTAGTTACAATCACACCTTGCAACTTTTATTTTGGAAGTTGGTTTACGAAAAGTTGCAATAAGGTGTTTCAGGGTATTCACACGAGAATGTAAAATTGCTCCCTTCCAATTTGACGGCGAAGGGCGTTGAAAAGTTGGAAATATTACCACGTCTGACAGTACTTTATCTCCAGATTAGAGTGAAATGCTGAGAAATATACTTTTGAGAGGAACGGCGTTTATAGCCATTACAGGTGGTCAATTGACCTAATTGGCAACCGCAACCTAAACTAGGGTTACTCTTAAAAGATAAATGCATAACTTAATTTACTAGAAGTGGTGTTCCCTTTTCTTAGGCTCCGACACACGTAAATATGAGCAACCTAGGGCCTGTTCGAGGCACGTAATAAAAGCGGCAATACTGCCGCGCTGATGAAAATTTGCAAGACTGTTGCAACTTTCCAATTGATAAAACTTGAATAATTCGCGCAACACTGCAACACAGTTTGTGAAGTAATTAAATTTTTTCTAAGTCTGAATATTAACTGCTACCCAGATTTAACTATAAAAATTATTCTTGAAGAAATCATAGTCTCATAAATTATTAGCTGTTAAAACGTAATTGGTTTAGTACAATAATTTCTCATCTGCTAGTCTTCAACGGAGGAAGTATCATACTCATTATTGTATTAAAACTAAAATGTTTTAAATGAAATATTTAATAGCGTGCAGTTCTTTACTCTACTTTAATATTTGTAAATAGGAAGTTATTTGTATGCAATGCATATGTAAGAATGAATGACAACGATGATTTTACACAGTTAGTATGATCCCTCTCCAGTCACTTATAAACCATTAACCCAACAAAAATGTATATATATATGTAGTCTAAAGATTAATATAAGTAAGCGCTTCAAATTGTAAATGATAAGAACTGTAATCAAACAACGAAATAATACATGACAATACATTGCTGTCTTCTAATTTCATCACAATGAATACAAGAAACATTCTAACTAGTTTAATATGTTTTCGCAATATTTTATTGCTTTACTAACTACAATACTCAAGCTTTTGACAATTAGTATTTTAATTTTTGCTTAATTCAACATGTCGGCAAAATTTAACCTTGCATCACCAGCACCAAGACAGATACATACAGTGGTTTAGGTACTTGGGTATTGAATATTTCCTAACTTGGCTGTTTGTAGATATTTAACGCTAGACTTCGCTCTAAAAGATTTTAAATATGAGGATTTAAATTACTAAAATATTACTGCCTATATGTATTAAAGAGTGAAAAAAGCTTCCAAAATCTTTGTTGTATGCAAGCAATTTGCATAAGAAACAAGTAATTTATGGCATCTAGAACCAGAAATTTAATAGCTGAATTTACGTATTTCATAAATGCCCACGAAACTATTAATATATTTCTGTAAGATCTATTTCTTTAATTTTTAAATACTATTGTATTTCATTTCTATGTGAGCCATTTGTTTATATAGCTTCAAAAGGAAAACGATGAACGCATAAAGTGCACACAAACCTACACACAGTCTCATTTGAACAACTGGAAGCGCATTTTAGACATTTTATCAGCAGCATTCTACCACTTACAGTCCACTACTTGCGTTTCCTACCTGCTACTTCTTCAAAGTCCGAATCATCTGTATCACCTGCCACAACAGTCGAAGCTGGACGCGTTTTGGTATGTCGTTTGACGCGTGTCGATTTGGTTTTACTCAACTTCTGTGGTCCGCGCTCAGCTTCGCCTTCGTCATCTTCCTCCCCTCCGTCATCCTTCGGTTTTATACTGCGCATAGCAGCATGACTCTGTTTTTCGCCCAATGCAAGTAACGAATTGACATCCATAACTGTTGTATTGCATTTATCACCAGTTATTTTGGTATTCTGCTTTTTTGTATCAGCAGCACGTTTCGCTATGGTTTCCTTAGCACGCTCCAGACTATTAACATTATCCAACAAATTTGCAAAATCAAATGCCTTTCCATTTGCTTGCTGCTCATCTGCACTAGATTCGTTGTTATCCTCTGATCCTGAATCAGAGAGTTTAGTAATGCCGACATTGCAGTCGAAAAAGGGTGCCGGCGAAGTGGATTTTGCTTTATCTTCATGACGTACATTGAAGAAACTCGATTTCAGATCGATATCTGCAGGATTGACGAGATAATCTTCAACACTCGATTCGCTGCTGGAGTCGTTGCCATGTTCGCCACTTTCATTGGGCATTTTGGCGTTTTTTGAAGCCGTTCGTGATGTTGACGCCGATGGCGAGTTGCTACCAGCGCTATTGGGTGACGGAAAAGTTTTTGGTGGAGGCCGATATTTGTTGTATAGTTTAGTACGCAATGACTGACCAATGGATTTGCGTTTCTTAATGGCAGTTTGCTTTATAGTCACCTTAGCAGCTGCTGATACTCCTCTGTCGAAGGTGAAACAAAAATCAGCATTGTATTTCACATTAAAAAACTAACTGTATATACTTTCGTCTAGTTGCAGCGCTCGATCCGCTAACACTTTCCGCGCCTGTAGCTTGCCGTGACTCCTCGAAATCACTATCATCGTCATCGGACGACTCCCCACCACGCACATCCTTAGTTGGCTTCCATTCGTCCTCACTGGCGGAGAAATCTTCCGACATGGATTCTTCTTCCTCGTCCGACATTTTTTGCAAAACCTACGCGCGAAAAATGGGTGTTTTCTTCACATCAAGGATCCCGTTTTGCTTTATCGATTTTTTGAAGCTGTTTAAAATTCTATAACAACTCTTCTTCTAACTGTTTTTACGGGAATATTCACAATGAAATCGTGATGGCAGATAAAATTTTCGGGAAGCTGGCAACAATGCAACTACAAGCAAAAATATTACCGCCACTGATGAAATACTACAAATTGCAAAACAAAAAAGGAGCAGGCTTGTTTGCCCAAGGTTAAATCACATGATTCAATAATACAAGGTTAGATAATTATTGACAGCTGCGGTTTGACACTCCCTTACAAAAGGTTGCATTTACGAAGGACAGAGAAAGGCCAAGAATGCAATCCCTTGTTTCGAAAATGGTAGTAGAAAAGTACGCA